TAGAGTGACCTTCTCTTAGATGGATTGCCTTACAGGGCTGACGAGCTCCATCTGCCCGGGGGGCTGGGAATCGAACCCGGGTCACAGCGGTGAGAGTCCTGCACCCTAACCACTAGACCACCAGAGGCCCCGTTAGTATTGCATTGAGAGTCACATCATAACACTTGTTTTGAAAGATTTCCTTTATGTCAAATTTCAGTCCTTTGGATACATCGGTTGATATTCTCTCTTCTCTTTCTCCTCCTTCTTTTTCTCTCTCTCTTTTCTCTCTCTTCTTTCTCTCTTGTCTTTCTCTCTCTCTCTCTCTCCTCTCTCATCTCCTCTCCTTCTCCTTTTTCTCTTCTTTGCTTCTTTCCTTTTTTTCCATCAGGATTCTTTTCCAACTGGATTCTTTTTGTTCTATGTCTTCTGTTTCTTCTTCATTTTTCTTCTCTTACATTCTGTTATGTCACTTCATGTGAATTTAAAAATGAAAAAAAAATTAAAAGTATTTTTTTAAAAACTCATTGTGAAAAAAATAACATTTAAAAATATTCCAAATTCTCAAACATTTGCATGATATCTATCTAACTTCAGGATAATATAATCTCTGATTTTGATGGAGAGCAGGAAATGTTTTAAACAAAGTTCTTAAATGCAAAATTGCCACCATTTCTTTTCTAGAGGCAGTTTAAGGAGACAGCAGGTTAGAGCAGGGAGGAGGAAAAAGCTCTCCTGCATCTCTCATCAGTGACCCAGCTCATTAAATAGTGTCAGTGGCAAGCTGTGTATTGTCCATCCCAATTCCTTTTGTCCAGAAAGATGATTTCATGGGGATACAAGGGTGGGATTGCAAAAGTGCTTGTGTGGAAAATTGGGAGTTGTTCTAATGAAACCAGAATTCTTCCCTAAGCTCTGCAGTATTGAACTGATTGTCATTTTCCTTAGTGCTACTTTCTTCTTTTCTTCCCCTCTCCCAGGCTGTTCAGCACATCTCTCAGTGAGCTCACCCTGTGTCTGTTCTTGGTTTTGGGGGGGTGTTGTGGATGGCAAGAGATGAGAGAAGTGAGTCTCCTTCCTGAACAGTTGTGTCTTCAGACTCTGGCAGTGGGAGGCACAGAGGTGCCCTCTTTCCTGCTCCCTTTCCTAAACTGCAGCCAGCTGGGGCTCAGCCTGACCCCACACATCATAAAGGGCCACCTCAAGGTTGCTTTAAACTGAGGCTTAATGGAAGTCCCTGCTCACCAAACTGTGGAGTTTTCCCAGCAGGCAGTGAACACTCCAACTGTGTCCTTCTCTTCTGATTCCCTCCTTCCCTTTGCCTCCCCCCTCTGTGCTTTTGGGGCTGGGCAGATCTCCCCCAGCTCCAGCTGGGCCCTTTCCATGCTGCAGACATGTGGCACCTGCACTGATCAGCTTTGGGGTTGCTTTCTGTCTTCTGGAGCTGCACGAGACAGTTGGGACACGAAGATCCAAACAGCAGTTGGAGTTGCCTGGGAGAACATGGATGGTTTTGCTTGCTTAGGGAGAGCCAGGTGAGAAAGGGAAAACTGCACAACAGCTTGGAAGAGCTGATTGATCATCTGTGAGCAGGGAATTCACCTCATTGCAGAGGTCTCACTCCAGGCCTTTCCAAAACCTTAGCCTTGGCATGAGATCCAGGCTGTGCTTAAGATCTCTGGGAAGAACTCTGTGGTAGAGGAGATTTCCTGCTGCAAAACTGCAGCTTACTTGTACTTCTAAAAAAAGAATATATAAAATTGAGGAAAATGGGTCATGTGAAATCTAGCTGTAGATTATTATTTAAAATTACTACCTACAATCACATTAACCTCTTTTAGACCAATTTCAATTTTACCCAAAAAAGGACACAATTTACATGAAGTATGCCATTTTTATATAATCTCAAGGGTATTCATGCTTGGAGGTTTTTTTGTTTTGGTTTTTCTTTTCATTCTGTGTAAATCAACTGGATTTTTCAGTAGTGTAATTAAAGTCAACAGTATTTATGTGACAAGTTAGGTTCTTCTGTTGAAGGAATTATTTCCAATCAAGCATTAGCTTGGCTACCATGTAAAAGGGGATATCTTTGTGCTTTAAGGTGTGGAAAATGTAAATAAATACCTGCAAAATTCTGAGACAATGAGACACAAATGAGAATGGAGAGAGAAAAGGAAGATACAGCAGTTTATTCTTTTCTATAGTAATGACACTTGCCAAACATACCTTAATGTCTGAGATTTCTGATGTTGTTTGTTGGCTTTTTTACTGTCATCAGGTGAGTGAATATGACCTTTATGCAAAATAAGACGAGTACAATTTTTTTTCAAACTAAAAATAACCTCTTAATTTTCAACTTGTGTTAAAGAAACCTTTTTCCAGAGTTCTCTGCTGTCTTCCCATATAATTGAAGTGAGGGAATGAAAAAGTGCCCAAATACGTCAGTCATGCCAAAGGGAAGGAAATCAAGATTTGGCCTTCTTACCTGCATTTCAGAGAAAAACTGTCACAACTATCTCCCAAATAACTTTTAGAGAAGAAAAAAGAAAACTGGACTTGAGTTCAGTTCATGTTCCTCTCAGGAGATGTCTTTACTGACACCGTCCCTGCTCTTCTGCACTCACAGGGAGCACTGGGACTTTGTTTTTCATGGTGATTTGCTCCCTTCTAGCTGTTATAAGTAAATGAAACTTAGGCTAAAATATAGCAGCAAAATTTATTAAAGATTTATATAAATTGCAAATAAGCAAAACAGCCCGCTGGGCTGCCGGGGAGACCCCTGCTCCACACACGGCCAGCAAAGCAGTAGACAAAATCAGTATTCTTTATACCATTGTCAATTCCCTTCCCATAGTCACTTGTTATCCTTCTATTGGATCCCAGTTCACAAGCCTGGTTCTGGTTGGTTCTTTTGCAGGCTCGCTTTTAGTTGCCAGGTACTTCCCCATCCATAGTCTTAGGTAATTTTTTGTCCTTGAGGCCTACTGTGTGAGTCTCTTCCA